TCTTTGAGGTGATGTCGTACTTCCAGCACGAACTGCCACTGTGGAAGGATGCATGGAAGATCAAGAGGGAGTTCGAGCAGTCAATAGTGCGACACCTCGCTGGGAACGTGACCCACACGACGGGCCAGAACAGAAAGCGGAACAGACCGTCCGCACAGCTCGGCGTGCCCACGAAGGAGGTGCTTGACATCATGAACAAGGTCAAGCCCAGACATCCACGATCCCTGATCACCGAGCCCTCTGCACAAGGTTCCAAGAGAAAGGCCACGGAGGGCGAAGATGAGGGTCTTGGTCAAGCACCAGACCCGAGTCGAAGTTCTCAGCCCAATGCTGAGAAGGAAGACAAGAAGCAGCGAGTGATCGACGGGCGGAGAGCGGCACTAGGATTCCTGGAGTCAATGGAGAAGTGCATGGGAGATATGGGGATCTGTAAGAAGTGCGCGAACCTGGCCCACGACGGCGACTGCAAGGACATTGAGGAGGCTGCTGGAAATGAGAAGGCGATGAAGGTGCTCCGTGAGCTACTCAGCAGTGACCCTGTTTCATCTGATGAAGACATGGGGGATACGGAGGAACCGTCCTCATCAACGTCCAAGGAAAGAAAGAAAGGAGGACAAGCAGGGAAAGAAACAATTGAGATGTACAGCTACACCATTAACTTGGTGGAGATGGCTGACACGGCTGAGGGAGGAGAGCTACAATGTGGTGGCGTCGACCTCACCTACAACCCGTGCGGGGACAGCAGGACATTCAAGAAGACGCTTGAGATGGGATGCGACACCATCCCGTGCTACATCCCGAAGTATGGCGATGTGAGTGATGTGCACTTGCCATGGGCGTATGCGTCCATCGTTGACCCCAAATACTTTCCCAAAGGTGCAATCCTTGAGCAAGTGGACGTGATGCAACTTGGCAAGAGTGTCAACTTCTGCATTGCTCCTTTCGACGGTGCTCCACTATGCAGGATTGGTGATGATCGCTCGGTATTTACTACAAGGGACCAAGCAAACCAGCTATCTCACGACCTATGCAGAGTCCTTCGACACAAGATCGGCAATTGCCGAGGAAGTGCTTTCAGGTGCGACGAGGGTGGATGGGTCGACATTGATGCTGTCATTGACGACCGAAACAACGACATATTCCCACCTAACACCTCGAGAGCGAAACGATACATGGGCATCATGGAGGTGATCAAGTGGCAGGAATCTGGACACAGGAAATCGAGATTTCAGGTTCTGGCAGCAAGGTTTCCGAGCATCATGAACCCGAACGACACGAGGGCGGCCAGGGAGGAAATGACCAAAGCTGGCATGGATCGGGACGACATCGACAGGATGTTCAACAGATGCGATGGATGGTACAGACCTTGGTGCATCCGAGTCACAACTGGTCACAGTGATTTTGGATTCATGAGCTCATCCGCACTGGCGAATAGGTATTCCGCAAGAATGGGTGATTCTCTCGGAGGAGCATTCCATGTGACGTATGTGGAAAACCTGCCAAGCATCGTACGCTGTGGGTTAGTCCCCGGCGGAATCGATGGCGGCAACAGGCTAGCACTGCACTTCGGGGCGTTTGCTCCATGGGATGAGATGAACGTGGCGACGAAGACAACGCTGCGGAACGTGAGGAGAGGGGATCCGATTGCGATCATCTACATTCCCAGTGCAACCCTCGCGCGGTATGGAGCTGGAGTCGCGGCTAATGGGACTTTCATGGTCTTTGACGTGATCCCGTTCTATGAGGTCAAGTCCATTTGGATTGGCAAAAGCAACGGAGGGAAGCGCCTGGAGTACGCTGACGTCAAGAGAGCGTACTCGAAGTGTGTGGAGAACGAGATCTGCCCTGGCTTTGTCAACTCATCCCAAGAGTCGGCTGCGATGTTCCTCCAGAACGTCACAAAGATCAGCGAGAGGATGCCGGAGACTGAGACAGGTGCCGATAATCTGCACTACATCGTTGACATGGTTAATCGTGCCTGCGAACTCTATCGAATCAACAAGATGGAGGAGTTCAACGCACAGGTCAACGAGGTCCGGGACGAAATCAGCAAAGTCGTCATCCTGAATGATGAGACATGGGAAGGACTGAGGTGCCGGATATGTCCATCATGTGCGACCGCGATCCCCACCTGCTTCTGCTTATGCCTGGAGTGCGAGGCACAACTGATCTCCATCGGAAGATACTACATTCACGTCAACTCCGATGACGAGGAGGACAACCAAAACCCCAACGTCTCTGGAGATGCCAGGCGTGCACAGGAAGAAGCTAACCACGATGCGGCAGCACAGGAGGATGAAGACGAAGCGGAGGAAGTTCCGGGAGAAGATGACGACATGGACACGCAAGGATATACATCCGGCTATGCGTCAGAAGAAGAAGACAGCGGTTGGCATTACCGCGACACCGATCTGGCGTCACGGGACATTATAAGTTCCCAACGGATGGCGATCTGCCTTGACGAGCCGCGTGAGGCTCAGTACATGGCAGGATTTATCGCACTCCAGCTGTCCAAGATGTGGGGGATGTTTGAAGGTGGTGAGGAGAGAACGATGAATGCCGGACTCGAAGGGAGGCCGGGCTGCCCTTATCACAATGACTTCAAGAGGTACCCCAACATCACCGATCAGGATCAGGAAGGTATACTCTTACCATCAACAGCGAAGAAAATTTCTCAGTCGGAGAATGTTCGGTCGAGATCCTTCCGATCGGTTGAGGAGCGTGAAGATTATATTCGTATGATGGTGTGCAAATGCGAGGGACTTTACACATTCTACAAGCTGTGGATTGCAGCGAGAATCCTCGATGTCACCAAGGAAGAAATGAAGCTCCTGGTCAAGGACCGAGTGCACCCGGTGGGTGATATTATTTTCAGATGTTTTGCACTAGCTTTCAACTGTAAGTATATATCATTCGTGAGGGATGGCCTAAACCTTGGCAAGAATGGTTACACGGTCAACGTGAGCGCCATCATCTCGGCCATCGACCCGAACAAATGCGACACACCCCTGCTGGATTGGTGCCTTCGGAAAGGGCACTGGTTGCCAGAGGACTACAACAAGAAGTGTGTCCGGGCACGAGAAGCCCAGAAGAACTTGGACGAGGAGTTCCGTCGACGTACCCATAGGCTGTCCATTGGGGACAGGTATGCTTCGTGAAGATGCTGATTGCGGTACGATGTGGGTCAGTCCCCATCTGTTACTTGCGTCACATCGACACTGTTTCGGTGGAACGACTTATGTCATGATTTATATTCATGTGTCCAAGATGATTGGGTGTGTACATGGTTACATATTCCGATGACTATGACGCTCTGGATATTCATGGATGGAACTATTACCTTATAGATGATATCTTTTCATTATTTATGCATTGTCCATGGTATCTGGAATGGCTATGATTTGCATTGATTACTCACCGATGTTTCTTTGCCGGAAATATGCAGACCGATTACGAGCAGGCGCCTCTGGTGGACTTTTGCGGCCAACCCATTTATGGATGACAGCTGCGCGATGCGCAAATGCGGCAGCTGGATTGTTCGTTGGTGGTCAAATGACGTGACGATTGTGTATTATATACACCTGCATATGGATGTGTGCTTCGATTGGAGGATGAATGTTTCACTTTTCGTACAATCGAACCCGGCATGTTTCACAGCGAATGAACGGTGTAGTGATAGCAAGTAAAAGAATGCACGACACGATTTCGTAGTTGAAGCCGTGGCCAGTGGAACGTTTTGTGGTGTTTGGACCGCATGATGAACAATGCGACCCAAATGGGGGATGTTAAAACCCTCTAGGCCCCGTGCCGAAATTGGGTAGCTGTTCTGAGGTCCTTGTTGGTGTTGCTTCCCAAGTTCCATTGATCGCCATTTGGCTCAAGACACAATTGAGGTTCAAGATCTGATGTGTGACTGCATACATACGTGATCGGCATTGAGAGCGAAAACACTTCGCTTGCGCTGCATTTGTCAGGACCACTGTTGTAACTATCATTCCTTCTCCCTTACAACGTTTACACGGGTTCGGCTATAACGGCATCGTCCGTATACACCTTTCTACGTGGTTGGTATTACAGCTTGAGGGTTCGGTGCATAGCGTCCCACGGGACGTCACCTTGCCGTCTCTTGACACCTTACTTGCCGAAGTCCTCTTGGTGGGGTTGCAGCGATGCTAGCGCCTCGGACGAAGGACTGGCATTTGTGGGAGGATGGTGCTCCAACAAAATGGAGCCGGAAAAGAAGGAGGTGTACTGGTTCCACGAGCAGATCCACGTGGAGGAGTATCCTTGGGCATTCAAGAATGGGGATCCCAAGCGGAGGATTGCGGCTTTGGAAATGCTGGGCACGCTCTTCCTCTGTAACATGATCCTCACGCACCAAGGCCCTCTGTCCTCCCGGGTCCGACTCCCGGTGGGCAGTGACAATCAGGGCAACGTCATGCCTATGCTCAACCTTGGATCCAAGAAGCCCTACACCGCGGCTACCCTGATGGAGCTGGTCTTCCTGCTCCACACCCATGGCTGCTCGCTGGCGGCCAACCACGTGCCCCGGGAATTCAACCAGTGGGCTGATGAACTGACGCACCCAGATTTCTCTGGGTTCGACCCTTTGAACAGGGTCCCCAAACAGGAACTCTGCGAGGAGTTCGTTTTTCTCCCGCGTCTCCTGAATGGAGAAATGGAGATGCATTTGATCTTAGCGTGGGCCCACCCATGCTCCCGTGACCGGAGCCGGTGGGTGACTCACTTCCCCTGGTGGCAGACCCCCCTGTGGCCTGGGTGCCACGGGCCCCGGCTCAGGGGCGGGCGCTATCAGTCTGCACACCCGTTCTTCAGTTTTTGAGAGTTTGAGGTGGGTGGCCCATGGGGCCCACCCAGCCGTTGACATCTGACAGGGGAAGATGAGTCCCTGGCACCAACACATTGCTCGGATAAAAGAGTTATCGCGTGCTTGTGTGGTGCCGTTTGGTTAGCTTGCATACACTACCCGAAGCGCACAGGTCAGCAGGACGAGCGTAGCTTCAGCAGCGAGGAGGAGTACTTAGCCTCCCTCGAGGTGCGCGGGGTTTAGGAGAGTTTGATTTGGGGGTTGATCAAAACCCGGATAATTCCCACAGGAATATTGATCAACCCCCAGTTGTTGATCGCAACTTCTTTTCCATATGCCAATCCGTCACAAGGTGAAGCTTTTGCTAAACCTTTTGAACAACAACGTTTACAAGGCTTCAAAGCTCAGGCTCCTTGGAATGTTCCGAAATTGCCCCCCGTGGTCTGATCCAGGTCGCTCATGGGCGAGCTGTTTTTTGATGGTTACCCCACAGGTCCTCGGGTCCGCCTCTCCGTTTTTGACAAAAAGTGGAGAAGAAAAGGGACTGAACAAATGACGTCCAAAAGGAGGCCTCAAAGCTTCCAATTGCTTAAGATTGTATTTTTGTTATGTTCCCTGGTGTTAAAGGGAGTCCATCACTACTGGATTTGCTTGATTTATTTATCGGGGGCGAAAACGCAAATGAAAAGGAGAAAGCAAATGAGCATGCTTTTCAGAAATCCTTGAAAATCCGAGTCCTACGAAGGCTCCCGGTCGAAGTCTTCGAGGTACTTAAGCTTTGGCCGACACTCCTGAACCTTGCGGCAAGCAATAGCAAATCTAAAAGCCGCAGCATACGAAATGCCACAAGAGAAAGAACCTGCCCCTGCCCCGCCAGAATCATGCATGGATTTTGATTGATTGATTGCTTGTTTGATTGCTTGCTTGATGGATGGATTGCTTGATTGCTTGATTGCTTGATTGATGGATGGATGGATTGCTTGATTGGATGGATGGATTGCTTGCTTGATGGATTGATGGATGGATTGATTGCTTGCTTGCGTTCTTGCTTGCTTGATTGCTTGATTCCTTTGATTGATTGATTGATTGATTGATTGATTGATTGATTGATTGATTGATTGATTGATTGGTTGGTTGGTTGGTTGGTTGGTTGGTTGGTTGGTTGGTTGGTTGGTTGGTTGGTTGGTTGGTTGGTTGGTTGGTTGGTTGATGATGATCATGATGATCATGATGATGTCTGCCCAAAGAGGCTCCAAGGGAGCGGAGCGATCAGAAGGAACGAGCTTCATGGAAATCTTCGGTGTTATAGCCCGCATACCACGGTTGTAAGTCCCATTAAGCCAGATCCATGGCAACTACCTACTGGCCAAGTAATTACCCTGCCCCTAAAATTGCTTGGATACCAAAGTTGGCTGTGGCTTTTTCTTTGAATCAATGGTCTGGGACATATTGAGCATGTTGATCAAATATTTGTGAGTGTCTTTTTCAGGGGACCCCCCCAAAAAGGTTTTTTGTGGGTGTTTTTTTTTTTTTTTAATTATTATTATTTAATCGGGTTTCCTGATTCCTTTTCAAACCCAACCAAAAGGGGGTCCCAACACCCACGCCTTCAATCCGGGAGGCCCAGGCGGAGCTGCCTTTAGGCTTCAAAATCGCCACCCAGAGCTTGAAGTTCGTACCCGAGGAGCGCGAGTTGTTTTTGGTTGTTTGCCCAGTTGAGAGAAGAATGCCGAGGGTACTGGGGGACCCTAGTACTCCATTGGGGCATGTCATTTTCGATGAAGTAGTTGCGTTTGTTGGAAGGTAGCGAAGGGAAATCAAAGCATGTTCACTTGCGGGGTCCCAAGTCCATCTCGAGGACACAAGCATACAGCGGGGAACACCCTCAAACATGACGTGGACATAAAAATCCTAGATGTTCACCGAAGGGTCTGAATATGATATGTAAGGCAGAGCAACCCACTTTTAGAGTTGTTTTTTGGAAGGAGCGCCCTCGTGTTGCGTGGGTTCGCCTTTGAAACACGCCCATGTAGGGAACCTTGAGCCTACCAGCGCCGTTTGCAGACAGTCAAGGGACTGCGGATACTGAGGGGAAGCCAGCCCAAGACCCACCGAAAACCCAAAACCCACCATAAACCCCCGAACCCTTGCTTGGCCTTTTCCCATTTTCGCAGCAGGCGCGGGAAACTCACTAGTTGCCCTTTTTCGAGCTGCTTTCCCTTTTGAACAAAACAAGCCGGCCATGTGCAGCTTGCCCTCAATTGGTTTGGTTTGCTGGTTCGGGGGCCGAAGGGTTTTCTGGCCCAACGGCAAAGGAGGCGCAGGAGATGGGCGAGCTGCCTATGCGCCTCACGGTGATCTCGTTGGAGGAGCCCACGGATCGTGTGGCTGCGGTCTTCACGAGTAACGCCTTCCCTGGGGCCCCGGTCCGTGTGGGACGAAGGCGGATGGCGGAAAGCGGCAAACTGCAGGCCGTGGTCATTAACAACAAGACCCTTGGCCGCCTTGGCCCGTGGCACGTTTTTGGTGGTTTTCCTCTTGCTTCGCTTGCTGGGTTCAGTTTGCTTTCCTATGCTTTGGCGGACATACCTACCTACCTTCCTGGCTACCTATGCTGTATGTGGAAGCCTTTTCCATGTGTTCCGAGCGTGCCCAGGATCAGCAACGTGTCGCCCCCGGACTCCGACGGGGGCGTATCAGCCAGCGAGACCCTTTGCGCAGAGCTGGCGACACTCGGTTCCAACAGATCGACCTTTGTCTCCCAGTCTGGTTGTTTTTGTTTGGTTGGCCGGTGGTTGGAACAGAGCCAAGGAGCGGCGGGTATTCAACTTTGCCTGTAAACAGGGGAGCTAAGGAGCTACCAACATTCTGTAAGAACATGGTAGCATGGGTGTTGGTTTTGTTGGTTTTACACCCAGCGGTTGGGTTTTGCGCCCAGTGGCTTCGTAGGTGTGTTGGTTTACCGTAGGCCTTTCTTTGCCCAATGGTGACTCGAGAAGTTGTCAAAACACACGGTTATTGGAGGATCCGCTTCGGAGCCGCCAGTATGTGCCGCCTTTTACAAGGGAAACCAAAACGGGGCCATAGGTTTTATTGGATTGACACCCAGTCTCTCAACGTTTGGTGGATAACGGTCGGCTCACTTTGCGAGATGTTTGGACTTGACAACATGTTTGGGAAGGCCGTTTTAGTGGCAAGGAAAGAGTTTGGACTTGTTGGCCACTACACTTGGGGAGCATGTGTTTGTTGTATGTGACAATTTGATTGCTGCAAAGACGTAGCGTATTCAGTTTTTCATCAGTTATCTCATGAATATTGCATTTCTCCCTGAAATGGCCCCTACCTGTTGCTGGCAGACGTAGGCGATGAAAAAAGAAGGGCAAAGGGTCCAATTGAGGGCCCGTGGGGGAGCAAGCTCAGGGTCACAGCGAGGGATTTAATCCATGCGGAATGTACATTACTTGGCCTCCTCAGGACGTGCCGAACATCTAGACGCAAACATTTTCCAGGCTCACGATTCAATGATGCAGCAGCAAACTATGTGCAGAAATGTCTCAGTGCAGAGTTTCTCACCCTTTTTGGGTGGAACTACCTGTGCAGAGTTCACCCCTTGTTCCCCATGGGCTGGTGGGTGGTTAAGGGCTGGTTGCTGGCTTCCCTCCACTCTGCGGGGGCGAGGAAACAGCTGAGCCTGGAGAGCGCTGAGCTGGTGCTTCCCAGCTCCACCGGGGTCATCGGCTGGCGCCTGCCGGTGAAGGCGAGAGGCTGAGAGTTTTCGGCGGAGCTCTGCTTGGGTTTGGCTCAAAGTGGGGAGTCGGAGCTCCAAAACAGGTGCTGGTTTCCCTCCAAAAGCGTACCCCAAAGGGTAGTTTCAACAATGGCAGCCGACTGGAGGGTTGGAAGATGGAAGCTTTCCGGTTGTTCGCACCCCGAAGCCCCCCACTTCCATGACTGGAAGGAGGATGCGTCCGTTCCCGAATCCGTGTATATACCCGGAGATGTGTTCATACCTCAGGTTCGCACTTGGACTAAACTTTGGACGTGTTTTTTGCGAAGACCATTTTAGAGTCAATCGTAAAGTTTGCACCTGGTTTTGCCCACCCACTCAAGAGAAGCGAGACAACCCCCCAAATCTCATCCAACAAAGCGGAAGCTTACGCTCGGAGGGTTCTGGAAGACGAATGCTTTTCTTTTGGGAAAGTCCCATGTCCACTTTCCATTGTTGGAAAAGGGGTAATCCCAAATGTCGGTTTTTGCCAATGCAAGAAGGGTCAAAATAGGCGGGACCAGAAAGGAAACTCACTTGACATCCTCACAGAGCGTACCCCTGTTGCCGTACCCCAGAAACAGCAAATGCTAAGGATGGGGATCAACTACCAACGCTACCATGCGCCCATGTCCACGCTGACCATGGTTGTGCAAGAATGGACCTTGAGTGTCTGCTATGATTTTACAGATCTGCAAGGAATGAGGGTACCATATAGAAGGAAATTCACCACAGTCCTGGGGTCTCCTCTGAAAACATTGTAGAAGGCAAGGTTGAACAAATATGGGCATGATCGAAACTATTGAGCCGTTTGCCCTCTTTCGAACATTCACGGAAGTGGGAAGGAGGCCTTTCCAAGAGCACTGTAGTCTTCGAAAACCATCCGCAAACCCTCCGATCCTCAGCTTCCACGTTTGTTGGAAAGAGGGCAGTCAAAAAACTACAACGAAACAGAGAAAGGGAACGAGAGGAAGCTTGGCCTTGTGTGGGCCATGGCGCTGGGGATGTCTCCTCGAAAAGGGCCTGCCTCTCTGATAGCGTGTCCAAACAACTACAAGGAGGCCTTTCCAAGAGGACTGGAGTCTTCGCAACCCCTCCCATCAGCTTCTGGAAGTCTAGTCAAAAACTGCACAGAAACAATGAAACAGAGAAAGGGAACGAGAGGAAGAGCGAAGGAGAGAAAACAGCCTCGTGCCTCGAGGAGATGGTGGCGGCTTTGCCTCAAGCCGAAGATCTGGCCACCGGCAGCGCGGTGCCGGCGGCGAAGGGCCGCTCGTTTTTGGTTTTTGTTTTTAATGAAGAAGATACATATTATGTATATATCTATAAATGTATTTATAGTTGCAGCAAGAAAATATGTGGGAGTCCAGGATTCCTGCATATGTTTTGCTCCTGTTTGTTTGTTTGCATTGCCAAGGGTCTTTCTTTTCGTAGGCACCATTGGCATCAAAGTTCAGGTATGCCCTCAAGTGGTGGTTTGGATTGGTGGTTTAGAAGTTTGGACCCCTGGTCTTTGTAGAGAGTAAATGGGACACCACCTCTTGATCTCCAAACCACGCACTTTATAAGACCACCAAATAGGGGGTACGCAGTTGTTTGTGGTGTGTTGGCTGTGTTGTCGTCTTGTTTTTTGTCGTTTTTTTTTGTGGGTTGGTGTGGTTTTGTGTGTTTGTTGTTGGTTGGCATGTTTGTTTGGTTGTTTGTTGCGTTTGTTGTTTTGTTTGTTGACTGCTGGTTGATGTGTTGTTTGAAGGATGTACGTTTATTGCCCTTGTTTTCATTGCTGTCGTTTTTGTTGAGTTGGTTGTTTGTTTGTTCGTTTGTTTTGTGTTTTTTTTCCCCCGTTTTGCTTTTGCATGGTTATGACGCAACATTCTTCCCCTGGCCATATACCGGAAATGGCTCCGTGCCCTTGGCGGTGCCCCAAGAGATCATCGAGCCTCTTATTTGGCTTATTCGAAAGTCTGGACACGCGTCCTCTGGATTTTGCGGCCCCCAGATACGCGTGCCTTCTCAAGGGCTGGCATGTTTGTTTGTCAGCCTTGGCTCTGGCTAGATACTTTTCCGCATCACCAGTTCAGAGGCATCACCAGCATCAAAGGCATCACCAGCATCAGCAGCAGCACAGGCATCCCCAGCAGCCGCGGAGGCGCATTTGCACGTCGCACATCGCCAAACAAAACAGACTCAGATTTTTTTCCGGGCCTTCTCCGGATTTTGCGGGCCTTCTCCGGATTTTGCGGGCCTTCTCCGGTTTTGCGGGCCTTCTCCGAATATGCGTGCTCCCTCAACCTCTGTCTGCGTGCTTCGCTCATTTTTTCATTTTTATTTTTCTAAAACAAGTAAAAGTTGAGAAGGCACTGTCCACTTGGGAAAAGCCTATGGCCAAAAATGAGGACATCGGCTTTTCCCCGGGATATCGTGCCTTCTCATTTTTTTGTCTGTTTTTCGGGCGGTTCCCCCCCCCCCCAGCCGGTTCTGCGTCGGCCTGATCGGATCCCCTGTTTGATTTCTTGGGGATCCTAGCTGGTTTTTGACCACAGGGAAGACAAAAGGTTTCCATTTCCAGTCCCAGGCGCCCAGATTGCTTGTGAAACAGCGCCAAAAGAGAAAGAATACTGAGTGCGTTGAACCTGCGTGTGAGGGGGGGACAGCTGGGAAAGCAATCATCAAGTAAATTCATGTCTGGGTATAGCGCTTTTTAGAACGGTTCGAAGTTCCAAGCATTGAGAAGGCATGGTGCCCTGGAGAAGCCTCGGGGATGGGGGTCCAGACCCTCGACTGATGTACTGTATAGGGTTCATACATCCAGTTTAAGCGGGATTTGCTGGCTGCCGCATTCATTCGGGGCTCCTAAGCAGATGCGATTCGGCCATGCAGAAGAGTCTTGTTTTCACCAGACCAGGGAATTATTCAGGAAAGCAACAGTGGGGAAGCAGACTCCAAAGCAGTGCCATTTTGCTGGGTTCCATATCCCCATGAAAGAGTTCCACATCATTGTTCTACCTCTCGCACCAGCGGTTGCAACGGGGTAATGCCTCGCATAACAGCAAAAAGCAATCAGCTAGCAGGGTTACTCCGGGTTTCCTTCATTTCCCTTGTGTGGAGCCTCCTTTCCATTGTCAATTCAGACACCACCCAAAAGTGTTATGCAACTTTTGAAGGTGGCAGTTTCGACGGAGACCGCACGTAAAGTGATCAACGGGGAACGCCAGTGACCCCCACTGGTTGCACGGACCGCTACCCGTGAGGCATCATGACCACGGACCGCTACCCAAAGCTGGCGGCCCGTGAGTTGTCCCAGGGCCGGCTGGTGGGCATCGCCAAGGGCGCGGGGATGATCGAGCCCAACATGGCCACCATGCTCTGCTGCTGGGATCTGCACCGGAAGTCGGGACAGCAGGGTGTATAACTCTCTATGCAGGCTACACAGTGGTCGTAAAAAACCGTTATTCTGCGGGGCTAGTGGTTTGGGGTTCGTGGGCTCCATTTTAGAACCAAAGGTCATTTTCTCGGTGTTTTGTTTTTGCGAGCCCACCGAGGGCCACATCGAGCGATTATTAGCCATGGGTTGGATCCTGATCTGGGGAAATCAGGGCTTCCAATGACAGGTTTAAAACTGCAGCTAATATGTTCTCTGTGTCTGTTTGTTTTTGCGTCTGTGTGTTTGTGTGTGGTTTAAAGAGTTGATAGCCATTTCGGCGCTTAAAGGGAAACTCACAGGAAGGCAGCCATGTGTTATGTTGCGTCCCCCGCTTTGGCACTACCCCGCAAAAACGGGCAAAGCACCTGGACATCCGTGTCATGCAGCCCTTTTTTTTTGGCTGACAGTGTTGTGAACTATTGCGGACCATATGCATATACCGCCTCTACATCGAACATGCACCTCGGAACCCCCGGCTCACATCACATGTGTGGTGCCTGTCCCAGAGTCACCAAGAAGTCACCTGAAATTAGACCTGCTGGGGGAGATCCACCTTTGAAAAATATCTACCTTCAGCATGCTCCAGTTTCCCTGTGGTCTCTGCTTGCTGACAGGATGAATGTCCGAAGAGTCAGCAGACATACAAGATTTTGCAGGTGAAGGAAACTCCCCGCAATGATGTCGAAATCAGGTTTGAACTTGACCCCCCCCCCCCCATGTTTCTGGATGTACATCTGGTTGGGTCATGTCCTGGTTTGGGAAGATTCGAGGATTCCGTACCAGAAGGGTGCATGTTTAAGATAACGCCATTATGGTAAGGTGACAACACAAATACACCCCCCCTTGCGCGTGGAACTTCCACCCGGACGACTCTCTGCCTTCCATTTGCTTATGAGAGGGGTACTGGGTTTCTGAAGGCCAGCATTTTCCGGGTTCTCCAAACTTCTTTGGGGTGGTGGTTGCACTTGAAGCCGCCATTGACCTCGGCAAAAATGAGCATGTTTGAAGGGACCCGGTGTTGCCCAATATGTTTGTTTTTGTTGGTGTTCAACTTCAAAACTGTTAAACTAGCGGGTCCTTCTTGCACCAGGGGTCGCATGGTCGCAAGGAAGGCAACTGGTTTGAGGGTAGGGTCACCAGCTGACAAATCAGAGGCTTCTTGCTGACAGACGTGGATTTGCCCCGCACGGAGCTGCAGACGATGCTCACCGAGGCAGGGGGGTTGGGGTTCCTTTTAATCAGGTTGTAGGAGGTTTTGGAAGGATAAACTTTTTTTTGGAGTGAGTGTTTTTGAGGGTGCCGTTTTTCAAAGGCCCATTATTTTGGGATCCGCATGTTTTGACGCATGTGAACACCCCAAACGTTGGCATACAGGTCCTGATTGCTGCCTCTTACGGATTTTTTGGGGAACATGGGAGTACCCGACCTGCCAGTCTCTAGAAGGATGCCATGTATGGTTGAAATATGACCACCCCCTTAAATTCCTCCAGGAGGTGTGCCAAATTTGTCAACCAGAATTGGCTTCAGCACAAGAAAGCCGCCTTGACAGGAATAATGGGCGCCAAGACATGCATTTGGCTGTGGGGGTCAAAACCAATGGTACCATTTTGAGGTAGGTGCACCACCCATTTTAGTCTATTTTAGTAGGGTTTGGGATGTTCACGGATTTTGACCCATGGCCATTTGGCAACACCCGGTCCATGAAAGTTACCCACCATGTGAGGGAAATCGCCTCGAAAGCTAATTTTGAGATCTTCTTAGTCGGAAGAGAGAGATAGAGGAGAACCTCTGAACGTGTTCATTCGTAGAGACCAATCAAACAAAGAATTGCGGGAATGGGGGGCCATTTTTGCAACTGGAGATGGGACCCTCCCCACAACCCCCCCTCCCCCCCGTCTGGCCTTGGAGTGTGCGACAGTTGCCTTGGGGAGTTGCAACCTTTGAAGAAGTTGTAGAATGCGCGCAAGCTACCTTTGGCTACACTGCGCACGCCTGATGAATGTGGAGCCCCACAAAGCAATCCTCCATTGAAATGAGCACAATCTCCTTTTCTCACCAACGTGGAAGTGCACAGACCCATCTAAGCTGGGTTCATTCCGCTGGTTCATTGCGCTGGTTCATTCTCCTATGTTCCTGGGTTCGTTCCGCTGGTCTGCAGAGAGTGCCCTCAAATTATTTCGCCTTAGGCAGTGGCAGACACCTTCAATTGCATCTCAGTGGACGGGGACGAGTCCACCAGCGACACTGCACCTTGTCTCACGAGCGAGTTTCTGAGGACCTTTTTCATTTTTTTTTGGAGGACCATATGGTATGTTTCCATTTGCCAGGGTTCCATGTTGGGTACCTATTTTTGACCCACAGCCATGTTGTTCTTGGTGGCTCCTTGCCATCCGATTCCTTAGCTTTTGGCTTTTAGAGTTTGGTGGTTGGGTTTCCATTTATCCCACTGAAAGTGAGACTCTTAGTGGGGATCTGAGGAACAGCCCAAGTGTTGCATAATCAGTAACTCAATCACTTAGCATATCCGCATATCCGGCTTCCCCAAAAAGGTGGATGTCCCATCCATGTTGCTGGTTGGAATCTCCAAATGTTTGCTAGCTGGACCTGGTTGGGTATGGTGCTTGTTACACACTCAGGAGGTTTGGCAAGCCCATGTATTTTTGACCAATCCGCTTAGCAAGTGAGACTTACACCGGGGTTCGGTCGACATTCTCGAGTTTGTTGTAGCCACGTCCATGCTTTGCAAGTATGACTGTCTTTAGTTACCAGGGTTGGACTTACCACTTACACCACGCGTTGGTTGACATACCATGGCTGGTTTACTTAAGTTAGTCGCGGATGTCTTGTGGATCCACGGGGATCGTGGCTGATCGGATCGATCCGAGGTGGCCTTGCTTTCCAGTGGCCAGGCCGGCCCCGTGCCCAAGGAGCCATCGGAAAGTAAAGGGTGGGGGATCCGGACACAGTGGGGCGTGTCACCTGAGCTTTCTGTTCTGAAAGGATAATAAGCTAACCTTGTTTTTTTGTCCTTTGTTCAATTCTCAACTACCAGTAAAAGGGGTGCACTTTCTCCCATGCCGCTGGGAGTTTGGGGTATTTGGGATTCGAGCCCACCGATTCGGGGGCAGACCGCGTGCGCGGTGTGCACCTGTGCGGTGTGCACCTGTGATGTGCGCTCATGTGTGCGTGTGCATTTGTTTTATCATTTTCTTTTGTGTGTGTGTGTGTTTTTTGTATGCGTAATATGTGATTGTGTGTATGTGCTGGTTTGTGTGCGTGCTGGTTTGTGTGAGCGCGTGCTTGTGTGTGAGTGTGTTGTATGTGCGGGCTGTTTTGTGTGCTTGTGTGTGTGTGTGCATGCGGTATGCGCCTGCGTGTGTGTGGTTCTGCGTGCTGTTTTGTGGTGTCATGTGTGCTTTGCCCTCCTGTGATGTGGCTGTCCGAGTGCTTGCGGGTGTGTGCTTATATATATATATATGTATATATATATATATGTATATATGTGTGTGTGTGTGCGCGCTGTTTTGTGCGGTGTGCGCCTGTGATGTATGAGCTCACTATGTCGGCAATTGTTCGTAGCGATGTAGCCCAGATGGGTAAATAGAGCATAGTTGTCTTAAGCTTCCCCAAGCGGAAACAAAAGGGGATGGGTTTCTTTGAAATTCTTCCAGGCCGCCAGTACAACTGGAATTCCTGCAAGGATGAGATTTCCAGTCAAGCCTTGGCATAACAGCGGCATTTTGGTTGATAGTCCATTGACGTATTTGGTTGGTGTCGGAAACCGCTTGGTCTTGGCTGTTTCAGCCACCTGACCTTTCTTCGACAGGGTGCTCCCTTCGACGTTTAGAGGACCATGGGCAGGAAATTGGTCCAGCACGCCACTGCTTTTTCCCATGCCCAAAATCCCCTTGGCACGCCAACCAACACAGCAGTGGTTGGGGGGTTTTGGTAGTTTGGTTTCCTGTGGATTCCCTGTGTCTATACTCTTCCGGGGTATTTACTGCCACGTTCTGTTGCGGGTCGTGAACGTCAACACGTGTCTTTGGACCCGTGCTTCGAGCCCAGAGCCGGTTCCAAAGGAAACCCTTTGAAGGGCAGTCCAATTTCCAGACCCGTATTTTTAGAGCGAGAACCCGACTTCAGTTTGGAGGGAGCCGCTTGTAATTGTAGAAGCCTTTGTCCACTTGTTGAATGAGGTCTTGGTCCACGTCTTTTTCTACCCGTACTGGGCAGCTGCACAATTACCCAAGGATGTACCCCAGAATCAGCTAACCCAAATGCCCCCAGCGATGTGAACATGTATGTCATAGGGCACCTTGAGCAAAGCCGGAATTCGCGGGTCTCCCAACATTTGCGACAAACAAGACCTTGTAGCTGGTTTCTGTTGTAGGGAAGCCAACCCCAAACCCTAAACCCTAAACCCCAAACATCCTAAGCTGGTTTTCACTCCGCGACTCCCGCGACTTCTGCGACTCAGGAGGAGTTCCAGGCGGCGCTGCAGGCGGTCTGCGCGGACCTCGCGGCGCAGGTGGTGCGCAACGGCGAGGGCACGGGCCACGTGATCCGCGTGGCGGTGACGGGGGGCGACACCCCAACAGCCCGGAGCGTGGCGAAGGCCCGGCCGGACGCCAGCAGGTTGCAACGATGTCTTTGGAGGAAGTGGGTAACGTGAACCCCGGATCAATTCCTGGGTGATTCATAGGGGGGGTGTCCCCTTTTAGTGGGGAGTTCATCACTTTTGGAGGGAACGCCCCCCTAACAATGGGACGGGTTTATTCATCCTGGGTCAAGATTAAGTGCCATCCTCACAATGTTTGGTTCGATGGGCAGGGAAGGAGTTGGAATGATCCCGAGAAAAGCACATCCCCCATGGTTTTCTTTCAAGGGATTTCGGATCCGGTTCATTCGCAAAACCCTACTGAGCACCGGCTGCAACAGGGAAACCACGAATGGCAAAAGTCAAGAATATGTTTGATTGTTCACTTACGTCAAGACCGCGGCCGTTGACATCTATTGGGGTTTTAGAGGGGGTGACAGATCCCACCAAGAGAGGGGCCAGCACAGTAGAGATTCCAACCTGCCTTAGAATTGGAATTGAGCAAGAGAGGGCGCTAGTAATGGTAATGGGTGTGTGGTTTTGTTGGGAACCCCTTTTTTGGGTTTGTTTCACAGGGAAACCAAACGGAAGCCGTCCATGTTGGGGGCGCACGCCCATTTGGAGACACAACCCAATGACGTGAGAAAGGTAATCAACTGCTGCTGTTTCAGCATGTATAGGTTAGTTGCTGACACCGCCACCAGGCGCCTGGTTGTTTCGTGCATGCTTTTTGTTTGCATTTGTTTGGGTGTTCGGTGTCTTCACACATGACAATGAACATAAGCACGCTCATGATACTAAACACGTTCACGCGCACCCACAACCGCTGCACGCATGCTGGCACAGGTACCAATAAAAACGCTCACGCGCATCCACAACCGCTGCACGCATCTTGGCACAAGTGACAATAACCATTCTCACGCGCATCCAGAACTGCCCCCAGGAAGGGTGGATTCATGGCCATCAAGCTGACCCGGCTCCTTGCTAAGCAGCTCGTTTGTGGGGTTACCCCTTTTTCGGGCCCGGGAAGCCTGAGTTTCCGGCAGCGCGGTTTCGACTTTGGTAGGCGGTGGCGAATGGCCCGCTCTTCAAGTCCGCTATTGCGGGTAATGACCCCAACGTGCCTTGGACGATTCGGATGCGTGCCGCAAAGCAACTTTGTTGGTTACGGATTTTTGTGATCATCG